AGTTGGCACTCATTTGTCAACTAATATGGTGGCACTTTAGGAGCTACATTTGCTTTCTTACTTGTTTCTTTTGAGCATTACTTTTCAGTAATTGTCTCATGATTTTTGTGCTATGTATCCTTAAGGTATCTTGATGTTAGTAATTTCTCATAACATCTAATAACCTTGGGTTTTATCTCTTTAGATCACCTATGCTTGTATGCATTAGAGACTACAACTTTTACAAATTTGTCATGACACTTAAGCATGTCACATTAATGACATTGCTTAGGGTTTCAAGATCATGATATATACTTTAGAAGGGATCATTCTACTTCCCAATGACCTATAAGTATCACTATCTTTCATCTCATTTGATCTTTATCAATTTCATTTGGTTTAAGACAAATGTTTCCATCTTTTGTGATGTTGATTATCAAACTTTTTGACTTTGCTGGTGTATGAAGTTTCATCTTCATTTTATGTTACTTTTGAAATTCATCTTAATTTAAATTGTTACACAATTCACACATTTCATAATTCTTAAATCTCTTTGCTTCATCTTTACTCCTTCTACTTAAACTTGTTAAAGTTTTGTCTCTTTAGGTCACTTCTTTTGAGTGATATGTGTGCAACTTTTCTTCTTTGATTGTGATACTTGAATATGGTTTTGTATATGTAATTTTATACCAACTTAGGTGTGTTTACACATTATAACCTTGTTCCATATTAATCTATCTCATTCTTGCTTCACTCCCCCCTTTAGGTTTATTTTTAGGATTTAATTTTGATCTTTCCTTTTACTAACCTATGTGTTTGATTTGGTAGTGATGTTATAAGTTTGTTTATAAGTCTTTTATGTGAGTTACATATTTATGTTTCTTCTGACTTCAACCTTACTCCACACCGTATGCCATGATCATCTAATCACACACTTGTTTCTATTTCACCTTATAACTTTATTTTGACCTAGTTTGTATGCATTGGTGTTTGAACCATGTTTTCAATTATTGATTGAGTTTCCTTTTGATTATGTGATATTTGATAAGTGTATAACATGTCAATTTTTTCCTTACATTCTTCAAATTACCTCTTTCATCTCACATGATTGCTTGTTAGCATTGCACGAGGACTTATGTCCACTTAGGGTTCTTTAACCATCTTTCCTTGTATGATTTGATTGTGAATCTTTCTCAAGTTTGTTTATATGATGATGATGAGTTTTAGATGTGTTCACTTCTGACTTGTACACTACTTCATCTCTTTCACCCTACTTTACTTTCTTATACCATGCTTGGTTAAGCAATTGACACATAAATGTTATAATGTTAGTGTATTTACCTTAATACCTTGTCCCGTGACCTTTAGATCTTTACTCCTTATGCATGACCCTTAGGGACGTACCTACACTTCTCATTCCTTATTAATGGTATATTATTTCCTATCCATGATCTATCACTTATTTGTAGTACAAGTCTTGCCTTGTCACTTGTTTGAGTTTTGTCTCTTTTCACCATACATGCTTGTCTTGGTTAGGTGAGGTTTGTCAACATGTAATCCCTTGATGATAGTTTGTGATGTCTTAAACCATATTTATACCTAAGTATCTACCTCTTGTCTAATACTTTATTGCATGTTTTATCGTGATGTGAAGTTTTGTCTTCTAAATGCATGTTTGCACTTCTACTTGTCTAGTTAGACAATTTCTTCACCTTCTTGACCCAAGTTGCCATGATTAAGGTAGTTTAAGATATATGACATGTTAGGATAAGAACTAACATTTTACTTTGATGTGATTTCATGCTATACTTACTTGATTTCTTATCATTGCTTTCTTCTTCTCCTACTCCACTTCTTCAAGTTTGTCTGTAAGAGTTTCATCCCGTGTGTGTTTTATCACATGAAATTTGTGTGTACTTGATGTTTTATCATCTTTTATCTTGATTTGTTGTCATCTTTATGATGTGTTATCATCCCTACTTTGAGAATTGATGTATTATCATCTTTGTGTGATGTTTTATCATCCATATCCCTTCTTTATTTACCTCTCCTTTTATATGCTCCCCATAGGATCTTTAGTTCACTCTTCTCTGAGTTTGAACTAAATAGACCTTAGGATATTTATCCATGCATGACAATATTAGGTAGATACTTCCCTCCTATCCCAACTATATGATCAACATTGTATGACAACTTTAGGACTATTTTGCTAGTTTCCCTTTTGCATCTCATTAAGACTAAAACTTCTTCTTCTTTCAAACTTCAAAAATACTTAATAAATAATTGATGAGATTCATACCTCCAAGAGTCTATAGTAACGAGAAGAATGAGACTATATAGACCCTTACTTGTTCTTCTTTAGTTCATAAGTCTGGTGTGATTCAAATCTCAAACTTTGTTTTCACAAAGTAGAGAGATGATAAGTGTCCTAGTAGTGGGATCCATTTATCATCTTACCTACAAAAACACCAACCAATACAAACCATTTTGTCTTCGAACTTTTTTCTTTAAAACGTTTTCAAAAAGGACATGCTCCGCTAGCATCGTCTATAAAAAACACACAACAAATGGAAATTATTGAGCCGAACTACGATGCTCTGATTCCTTAAAAGGGATACGTAAGCATCTGGTCGTGGGGCTCAGTCGAGCGAAACTTTGTAAATATTTCCTTCTTTTCCCTGTGTTTTCTTTTGCATGCATTCCCTATCTGCATTTCCCTTTTAGAATTAAGCTTTAGACTTAGATCTTTTTACACACCCTTAGATTATAACAACCCAAGTGGATCCTGTAGAGTACCACAGACGTGAAGGGTGCTAATAACTTCCCCTTGTGTAACCGACTTCCTTACCCGATCTCTTGGTTGCAAGACCGTGATTTCACCCTTCAGGTTTACTCAATGATTATCTTTCTCTTCGGAGGTATAAAAAACGTTCGATGGCGACTTCATTGTTTATTTCGATGATTTACCCAGTTGTTTCAGGTGCCTCTGATCTTACCGGTTGATCAGAACCTGTAATGGGACGATAACTTCGTCTACTAGGCTGACAAATGAGGAGGATGAGGATGTACTGTAAGACACTCCGATGATCAAGTAAGAAAGAGTGTAAGGAGATACAAGAATGAGATTATGATTTTTAGTGTGAATATTCGATCTCTGGTACTCACAAGTGTGAGGGTTTATATAGTGCCCCCGATGTTTGGCTATTGGTCCCTATTTTTGGGCCTAGAGATGAGGTTCCTTAAAAATAGGTAACTATCAGAAACTAGCCATTGTGACGGACAAAGGTGATCGTAACTAGCCGTTACAACGAGCAGAGAAGTGTCTCACAGGAAAGCGTGATTTCTGATGGTTCCTAGATGACTATCCTCATGCGGCTGAGTAGAATGAGGAATAATCAATTTGAGCAGGCAGAAGTAACCGTGCAGACCCTGATGGTCAGCCGATCCTAAACATACATTGGACCGTCCTACATGCAGAAGTGGATTGAGCTCTGCTTAGCCATTGGGCTAGTCCATAACATCAAGCATATAAATATTACTAACCCTTACACCCTTAAACATGCAATCTTTCTTTTCATTATGTTTCATTATACAACAATCTTTAGCAAAAGCCACCTTATATCCATTGTCACATAATTGACTAATACTAAGAAGACAATGTCTAAGGCCTTCAACTAACATACCATTGGAGATAGTAATAGTTGATGGATTATTTATACTATATTTTCTGAGTATTGCATATTTGTTGTGATCACAGTAGGATACAAAACCTTTCTTCTTCGTCACAAAGTCAGAGAAAAGAGATATGTCTCCCGTCATGTGTTTGAAATTTATTGTTCAACTCACTTTTACATAAATGTGTCCAAACATAAATCAATTATATTAAACTCAATTATGTTAAAATCAATTATACTAAACTCAATTCTATTAAAATCAATTAAGTCTATCGTCAATTCAAACACACGACAAGAATGTAATTGACAAAAAAGATATTGTGATGAGAACATAAAATATTGTAGAGATTACATAAAAATGTGTTAATTTAAAGACTCATAAAGTACCTAAAATCGTACCATATCAATTGATTAAATAAATTTAACTGATCATTATTTAAAAAACACACAAAAAGATAAAATAAATTGATATCAAAAAATAAATTTTAACAAAAAGAGGTAAAAAAATTGATATAAAAAAAATTAATTTAAAAGAGGAAAGAACCAAAGAGATTTAAAAGAGCAAACTATATCATTATGTAATATTAAAATTACATATTTTTTGTTATAACTTTTCTAAAATTTTTAATGTATAAATATTAATAACTTATTTGTATTAATATATAAATATAAATAAATATGTTTAGAAAAAATTGAATTTTGGACAACAATTTATACCAATTTAACTAAACTAAATTTTTTATTATAGTTTATTATAAATAGTTTTATTTTTAAAAACTCATTATTTTAAATTTAGATTTAAATTATATTTATAATAATTTTGAATACAAACAACTTTTAGTTGAATATCTTTTTTACAAAATTTTCTCTTAACAATATAATTTTTTCTTTTTTAATTTAAAAACACATGAATTACATATGCTAAAAAAAAAAAAAATAGAACCATCAGCACACGTTGCCCCTCTTTTCTCTATAATATATTCTTAAATATTTGATTAAAATTAGTTAGTTATTATTTAGATAAATAAATTGTGAGCTGCCTTAATCATGGCAAGCCTCCACCGTCCAACTCACAAAAAAATGTTTTATAAAAACAAATAATTAAGTTTTTCAATAAAGAAAAAACAAAATTAAGTCAAATAAAATAACAGTAATAAAGTATTAAAACAAATTAGTTTTATTATTTTCCTTGAATATAAAAATTAGGCTGAGTAGTCGGAAAAAATAACAACCTAAAAAACAAAATAAAAAGAATATAAACTAGGGCTTTATTTATAAGGAGTCTTTCTCAGTTAGGATTCAATTCAATCAGTGCAAGTGTTTAGGGTTTCTTTGAGGTTGAAATCAATGGCGGAGGAGAGAATCTCAGGTGTGGTGCAATGGTTCAACAGTGGAAAAGGCTTTGGTTTCATCAAACCTGATGACGGCAGCGAGGATCTCTTCGTTCATCAATCATCCATCAGATCTGATGGATTCCGCACCCTCGCAGAAGGCGATCGTGTCGAATTCACTATCGCTACTGGCGATAATGACAAAACCAAGGCTGTTGATGTCACCGGTCCGAACGGCGCTCCTCTGCAGTCCAGGCAGGATTCGTACGGCGGTGGAGGCGGTCGTGGATTTGGTGGATTTAGGGGTTCTGAGAGACGTAACGGTGGAGGCGGTGCTGGATGTTACAACTGCGGTGACACTGGTCACATCGCGAGAGAGTGTAACAGGAGCAATAATTCTGGTGGTGGAGGCGCTGGCTGTTACAACTGCGGTGATACTGGCCACATCGCTAGGGATTGCAACCGGAACAATAATTCCGGCGGAGGAGGTGCTTGTTATACTTGCGGCTCTTTTGGTCATATTGCTAGGGATTGCACTCGAGGAGGCAATATCGGAGGCGGATTTGACCGTGGCAGTGGTGGCGCCACTTCTTGCTACAGATGTGGTGGAATTGGCCACATTGCGAGAGACTGTGCGACTCCCAGCGACAGGAGCGGCGGAGGTGGTGGTTGCTATAAGTGCGGTGAGGTTGGTCACATCGCCAGGGATTGCAACATTGAAGGTGGGAGGTTCGACGGCGGCAACGGCGGCGGGAGATTTGCTGGTGGCAACAATGGAAGATTTGGTGCTGGCAATGGAGGAAACAACACTTGCTTCAATTGTGGGAAGCCGGGTCATTTTGCAAGGGAGTGCGTTGAGGCTTCTGTTTGAAGGAAAAAGGTGGAATAGTACATATTCTCTTTTTTGCACATTTTAACAGTTTTTAACTGATTAGTATTTCTTTTATATATTCTTATAATTTTGGGAAGCAAGTTTGTTTCTATACATAGGATGCTATGACGATTACTATGGTTATGGTTTTGGTTCTGTGTTTTTGACTCTGGTTCATTGCCAATTGGGGCTTGTTTTGTGGTTGGTTTATATCTGATAATGCCTATTAGACCTTATTTATGATGAATTTAATACTTTGCCTTTCTTGTTCCTAAGTGGTTTGAAATTTTAGGTCTATGATTTATTTGTTTGCATTGTTCTTGTGATTGTGATTTTGAGGTTTAATGTGTAAATGAAGTTCATGATCATGAGAGATTGTGGAGTTTCCCATTTTCATTGTGTGAAAGTTGGAAGCACACATTCAGTCAATGATTTACTAGATGATTTATTTCATTTATATGATTTATTAGATGCGGGTTTTGTGGACCTAGACTTAATCCCTTGTTTATTATTAACACCTGTATCGGATTAACACTTGCAATAACTGGAACAATAATTTGCTCAAGACTAATCCCTTCTTCCACTATGATTTTTAGAAGCTCCAACATATAGCTTTTGGTCAACCTTGGTTTTTCAACCTTTTACTTTTAAGTCTCTACATATTTTTCAGCCTGTGTCGTCTTTTCTAAGCTTACTAATGCTTACTATTTCACTTTATGTGTGTATTTAATGGATTTGCTGCATGGGTATGCCGACTCTGTTCCCCCCTGAAAAACCATCTGGAAAATGTTATCAGTTTATTTAGCTCTTGTAGTTCTTGCAAATCATTTGAGGGCTTCTGTTTGAAAATGATGAAACTGATTCATCTCATATTAGGATTTATTAGATCAGATTTGGCTAGTTTTGTGACTCATATATGTTAGGTTTGCCTGGCAAGATTATATTTGGTTGTGACTCTTAGCATGATAGCCGATGAAGGTTCGCGTTGTAGAGAACCCAATTCAATGGATCAGATTGAGTCATCAGATTTATTCTTTTTTACCTTCTAAAATTTTTCAATCACAGATTAAAAGCTGAAAAAGCAAATGGTACCCTGAAAGTATAGATGTAAACATAGATCAAAATAGGATGGAAGTTAGAATAGGAAATCCCTACTTCTAGCCCATGCACCTGAAGTATGCTAGATTTATACTTCCTTTCTCTTACCTCCAAGAACTTCTTAAGCAATCTGATGCTACGTCTTTGCTTCTGTGCTGTTCATTTGTGTCATTGTCTACACTTATCTTGTCAGCTTCCAGCCATTCTGGCTTAAGCGACCCATTTAGCGGATCAAGTATGATTTCTCTAAAGTTGAATTCATGCTATTTAGTGGTTCAAGTATGATTTCTCTAAAGTTGAATTCATGCAATATTTTTCTTGTAACCCTTCTTTATTAGTAGTCTGTCATTAAGCTACCCTTTTCTTTTTATGGCTGCACTCCCATGTTTACAAATAGCACATTGTTCAGTATTGTTAGTTGCATAAGATAACACAGATCATAAGATAAACCAATAAACATCTTATGGGATATTATTGGTCATCCTCTGCTATTACATTCCATCATGTTCATAGTCTAAAGTAGGAACACCATCATCTTCTTTAACTCATCCTTGAATGGTGCTGTTATTTTCATTTTGATTTAGAGTGACATAACTCCAACTGTCTATCATTACAATTGGTCTCTTTAGGTGTTCTTGCTCTTGATCTGATCTTTTTGGCTAATTTTGATTTAGCCATACTGAAGACAACATTGTTTATTGTATTTTATTTCAACCTCTCTCTTCTCTTTGAGTATACGTATGCTATATTTTATGTTTTTTTTAAGTTCTTAACATCTCCAAGCAAAACAAATTTGCTGATGTGTTGAAGATTTACATGCCAAGTTAGTATATGAATATGACGGAATCTTCTTGTCAATAATAAGCGTGGGCAGTGTTATTTATCCAAAAAGGCCTTCTTGCTTCCATGTGCACATCTACCCTAGATTGTTCTTTAGTAGTAGGCAACAACTTTTCCTGACATTCATATATGGTTTACATTTAACTCGGCAAGAAGATTACCTTTGAAATGTTAGCTCTCATGTCAGCTCTCTTATTTACAAGTCCATTAAAATATTGGACAGTAAATCTGTTACAAAAATGTTGAGATGCCCATTAACAATCTTGGGTGGGAGTTAATTTAGTGATATAGACATCAAACGTGTTTAGGTAGCATTGAATCAAATTTTATTAAAAATATCTCAAATTTAGGAGTTCATTTGCTCGTAACTTTATCATCTTTTAATTAAGTCTAGAAAAAGTGAAAATTTTCTACACCTTTTGTATCCTTTTCCTCTCCGTTGTTTTTTGCAGTGAGATTCATCCAACAACAACTTTGAAATCTGAATTTGAGGTTCAATGCCACAAGATTGCTTCATTCACCACATGTTGCGTTTGATATTTGAATCCCCTTCTTCCCCAAATTCACTTGCTGCAGTGAAGGCAACAAAAACTTAGACTCGATCGTTTTAAGAAGTGCTTATTGAAGCTCAAATCGATTATGCAAATGCTTGTGAAGGGATTAATTGAGTTTTGAATTGTGAAGGAATTACCCACTTAGAAAAATGTGTAAAAAAACTAGAGATACAAGAGTTTTGAGTTTAGTTACTAAAATAGAGATTGAACCAAAGGATTTAAGTTGCAAAGAATTAAATTGCGGGGTTAAGTCTTTTTTTTGTTTATTTGAAAGGGCAGAGATTGAGTAAGGGAAGATGTTGGGGAGGGTTAAAGTTTATGATACGTGTGGAATTGGGTGCAGGTGAATCCACACAGGAAGTAAATGTGAGAGGGGCATACACGGATCAATGCCAATGGGTTTGATCGAGGCTTCGAAAGTAAAACATTTTGGATTTGAATATAAAGGTTATTAGTTTGAATGGTGAATGATGAATTTGAAGATGGAGACCATGAACTCCAATATATTTTTATATACTTTCAACAGTGAATTTGATGTCTATGTCACTAATTTAATTGTCACTTAAAACTATTAACTGACACACCACCATTTTTCTAACAGATTTAAACTGTCCAATGTTGTAAACAATTTGTTATGCAAAGTTATGTCAAAAAAAAAGAAAACAACGAAGGTTATATAAAACTATAATATGTTACTTTTATTTTCATTTTTGTAGTGTTATATTTGTACATAACATTGCTTAGGACGATATCTTTGGAACCGTGTTAGAAAAGGACGACGACATGAGATTGTTTAAAGGGAGACATCACCTTGCCTTTTACGTTATCTTTGCCCATTGAAAGAGAAAATATGAGATATGACGTGTCTTAGATACTGAGAAACTTAAGATAGTTATTAACCAATGTATCCATTGAAAATAGGAGTTCAACGACCACCTTTTGACTGAGTGGGCGGTGTCTATCTATGATAAAACTCTCAAAATCAGTGATTCTTATAAATACCCCTCATTCTAGAGGAGAAAAGATCCTCATTCAGATAAGTGATATCTATTTATTGCCACTCACTATTATTCAGAGAGCGCTCTGTTCTGAATAGTCACATAAAATATCAATATAACCGTCCATCTACAATCTAACAACGCCGATCACCGTCAGGACCACTCATCTCATGTGAGTAGACTCTAAATACTCTTAAAAACCATCATAAAATAACTATTCGTTGCTGTTGGTTAGTTTTCATCCATTTTGTGCTTCATCCATTTTGTAATATATTCATTAAGGTCTTTGAATCTCATCGTCTTTATAAGGGTACACACCTATATTTTTTGAACAGTATAATTTTCAATTTTCATGACCATAAATAGGATAATTGACCTTATACAAAGTAATATTTCAACATGATTCATTTTAGTGAATAGTGTCACAATATGAAAACTTCATACCCACGAAGGATCTATCAAATTGACACTTCTAATGACCTGACTAGCAGCTATTGTCTATAGTGGTTAATTATGAGACATTTGAAAATTAAAGCTTTATTATAAATATATTAAAATTTAAGGCCTATAATTTTACAATTTACGTATAAACGAGTCTTAAAATAAGTAAATTTCATAAATTAAAAATGCTTAAAATTAAAGTTGAATTTCAAGGTTTTTTACTTATAATTTTAAACAATTAATTGTAAGTTAGAGAAATTATCTCAATGTCTCTAGAAGCTTTGAGGAATACATGATCTTCTTCATCAAATTTTCTTTTTTTAAGAGAAACTTTATAAGAGTCTTTTAATGTATCTTTAGGTGTATTTTTAAAAATATCTTTGCAGAAATTTATGCATATATTTAATATTTTCTCCATTAGTTCATCATTTGTTGTTATCTCTTATTCACATAATATTTGATATGAGGAATCTTTGAAGATTCTTTTAGAAGTTGACTCTTCACATACTCTGGTAGATGTTGACTCTTTAAATAATTTTTTTTTTTACAATTGAGATCGTTCGTTCAAAGAACACTATTAAATTTGATTTCACTGTTTTTTATTAGACCCTCTTAATAAAGATTCTTCTAATATACTTGAGTTTATTCCTTCATCTTTTACAAGTTGGATCAACTCCTTAAGTTTCTTAATGATCTCCTCTTTTCTAAATTTTTCGTGAAATTCAATAAAGACACTATTATCTTTTGAGTCAAAGATTGAACTAAATATTTTATTCCAACTGAATTCTCATATAGTTGTTAAAAACACAATTTCTAAAGGATTCTAATGGTTGAGTACCATATGTGAGAATAATTTTTATATTCATTTGGTATTTCAACTTCATGTGTTTATGTGTTTATTCTCTCTTGTTTGATATTTTGAGAGACTTTATAAATCATCTCAATATTATCTCACACTTTGGGGACTCACAAGCAAAGACATAACAAAATTTCTTTAAACTTAAGGCATTTATCACAATATATTTGATTTTAAAATTAAGTTTGACTTTTTTCTTTTCTTCTTCGATTC